TATATATTGTACTGCATAAAGCATTTTAAGTCGTATGAAATTCACAACTATAACGTCATTTATCATACCAATCGACCTTTACCTTGAAGAACACTATTATTAAGACGCCGCCTATGTCATAACCTCTTGATCTTTTCCGAAAAAACGTTCACAACAACTTAAAGCAGAATATTCGCTTCATCAATCGGTTCTTCACAGCATTTGCCCTCCGCTTTGTAGCCGTTTGATAGGTTAGTCATATATTAGCACTGGTATAGTCTAATTAAAAAGTCGCAATTTTCTATTAATTTGTTTACGACTCTGCTCTCGCTTCCGTTTTGCTGAACGCAGTTAATTTGTACTGCAGTTGGTTACTAACATTTTGTAGTACTAGCGACATCGACGTTAGGTGTGATTGACGATAGTCTGTGTCACACACGTACAGAAATGGCGCCACTCCGAAGACATCATTATCTTACTATCTATCACTGCTGTAAAAGGAGCAAGTGGATGGAATTTCAGGACATATACACAGAAAAAAAACTACCTACAACTTGTTCCACTCAGACGCTCGTTTAAATCTCCAGCCACCGATTATAGTGAATCCGTACTCAACTGTATATACTAACATCGTTTTTATCAGTTTGTTTAGGCACAAAGACAAAGGAAGATTGGTTGTAAGTTGTGTGACATCATATGTCATTACAATAGGGCACTTATATATTTGCGTAGAGCCTATTGATGAAAACTAGTATATAATAATAATATTAATAATAAGAAACAAATGAAGAGTCTGATCATTTTATTTATCTTCTCCATTGTCAAGTATACATACAGCTCTCTATTAACCTGTCTGACACACGCTTTTTAGATGATAATTCCTCTTTTCTTAATTTTAGAAAATTTTGCCCCTAGCTGAGCAAACCACTTGCTTTTGATCATATATAAAATATGCGATTTGTTTTTTAATCGCCTTCATTAGTGTGTTCTGGTACTTTCTAACTAGACCGAATTCGTTCGAAGAAACGTTCGCTACTTTATATGATGTTTTTAATAGGGAGAGAGTAGTGAAAAAAATTACTGTGCTCGTTAAAATCTGTGAAGTGATTTTGAAGTGAAGAATTTAATGAAACGCTGTATCATTTAAGTCATTTAAACAATTATAATATTGTCAGTGTTCATCTAAAAATTTTGGTTTATTTTCGGTAAAAAGAAAACTCTACTTGGTCAGGAGACATATACCACGTGCAGAATAACCGGTAATCCGGTGCAACGGTTATGGGCGCCTGGTGTTTTGTTGGCCACGTGGTGTTCTGCTGGTCGAGTAGGGTTAAATGGACCACCAACGGCAAGCAGTTAAGGGGACTTTGGCCAGTGATCGACGCCGATTTGACTATGTTCGTGCTATTGTTTAATTATTCTTTCGCCGAGCCGCTGTTCTGTAATCTCTTTCTCGTTGGCTGATATGACGTTTAAGAATTTAATTTTTTTTGGGCGAACTGAAACGACAAATGAATGAGAACAATTATATTAGCATTCAGATCTTTACAACGGAACATTTAACACGCGTAGCAGGCTGGTCGTTTAACTTAGAGCTACGAGTCTACATGAACGTGCTTTTTTTATATTTGTCTTCCATAGGATATGATATACTTTTGTAAATATAATATTGTATTAAACTCTATAATCAATCGGCTAAAAATTCAATATAGCTATCTAGTCGGAATAATCGTGTTAGTCATGTGCTGTAACAGATGAAAGTACAGTCAACGAGTCATATCTTACGCGTTAATGGGGGGCCGCTTGCCATTCAAATTAATCGTAACCCCCGGTCTGTTGTTGTTGATTGCGCCCGCTTGCGATGGAGCATGACCCTCCACTATTGTGCCATGATCCTCGAACACCTCATAACTAGGATTATTAAACTCATCATCTACATCATCGTTATTATCAAGATGGCTATCATTGGAGTGGCCCTGTTGTGCCTCCATCCTGGCGAGGTCATCGGGCGATTTTGGAGGCGATGGGACAGGAGAGCGACGGCATACAGCGCTCATCACTCGGTTTGTCCAGATCGCGTAAACCGGATTCGGAAACTATTGAGAGGCGAACAGAAATCGGGAGTTAGTTAGACGATGACAAACACAACTATTTTTGATAGTTATTTCGCTTCATCACAATAGATGTTTCCTGGTTGTCACGTGTAGGTGTATGTACTATCCTTCGATGTATTACCATAGTCTCAAACTGTGAGCAAGCTTTTTTCAAAGGAAATAGGCTGTTACAGTTTTTTTTATCAATTTACATTACTTACAGCAACGGCGCCACGTGGAAGGGCGTCAGCCGGATCTACTGCTTCTTTTGCAAGCTGCTTCTGTTTGTTTCGCTTATGCATAAGTAGTGTAAGCAGTAAAAGGATGCACATAACTACGGTAATTGCAAGTACTGCCGCAGCTAGAGTGGTGGTTCGAGCGTCGACCGTACGCGGTTCAAGGAGTCGCTTGACGGCAAGAACTTCATTGCGGTCTGCGCTGTAGATGACCTCAACACGGCCTGAACCATGTCCTCGAGCATCCTGAGCATCTTCCTCCTTCTCGCGGTCATCCTCCTTAGCGATGTACGTGAACCTCGAGTTCTTGTATTTGGCCACCTGACTGCCTACACGCAGCATCTTGCCCATAACCTGAATGTAACGAAAGTGAGCAATGACAGTTGGCAAAACCCCAAGATGAAAACAGGAACGTCAGCTGGGCTGATAGCAGGCTCATAAAAATTATCATCTATCTGCGCATAAAAAGTATACATATACTCTATATTAGTATCTATCACATGAATTATCCAAAAGCCTGTTAAATCAATGAGAACACTCACGTAAGTATCAGTACACCTTTCGTACATTACATGCTGTCCGATAGTAAAGTATTTCTTAAGGATATACGTACGTTAGGAGAATATACGCGTTGCTAGAAGGAAAGCAATAACAGAGATTTATTACTTAATACTAATGAGGCGTATACACGAAACTTAATTGCACGTACCAGTTGCTCGATCTTATAGGCCATAGTAGCGCAATTGTTTCCTCGAAGTGTGAAACGAGCATGAATCATCTTGTCGTTGTTTTCGGGGGTGGCGACATCGTTGGTGCTCTGAATGCGGACATCCTCCTCGCGGAAATCAGCATCGATTGAGCGTAGCGCTCGCTTAAGTCCTTCAGCCAGCGCGGTTTCATTCTGTTCTTTGTCCACCGTGCTTGTCATGGATTCGGAGCCATCGAATGCCAGATCCATATCAACGCGAGAGATCTTCACAGCAGCTGCAACAATAAAAGCGAAAAAGTATAACTTTTGTGTTAACGTTGGTGTTCTACTGTTTGATTACAGATTTCTTATCATTGCATTATTTGCCCGTATAATTTAATAGCAAGAAAGATACGTTTCGAGTTTTATGTCTACTACGGCAGTGAACCAGCACTTCGGCCGGCAATTTAATAACAACAGCGTATGCCATCTTTCGATTGGAAAGGTTTGTATCAAGAAAAAACCGAAGAAGACGACGACCTACCGCACGTCTTTGAACCGGCTGTGAATGGTTCTCCCATCTGATGTCCCGCAGCATCGACGCACCAGCATTCTCTCTTAGTTGGCAGAGAAATGCACTGGGTTGGCTGGAACGTGCCCTCTCCATCGCACTCGGGAACGTACACGTGTCCGAGAACGGCGTTCTTCTTTTGAAGCGCTTGGCATTTAGGCATAATCGCGTTAATCATTTCTTTGAGATTGGCGCCGCTTTCTGGGTCTACCGGACGATCGCAATCCGCCGGTTCACCGGTGTCAGTATTTATCCAGGTCGCACGACAATCGCATGGGTCCACCTGACACATCGCAGAGGCATCGCCTGGACACGCTGCTGCTGCACAGGCCTTTACGCGGTCACATGGTTCACGTGTGAGTCCCTCTTTTGTAATCGTATCATAGGGGCAAAGCACCAAATCAGGACAGCGCATCTCGCAGGCAGCCTAAAGATATAGCATTAACACGCTTTCGTTTATTAAACGTTATTTTGTTAGCTCCATTGCTTCATAAATCGATATCTTTCCTTCTGAAAAATTCACGCAAATGTATCTACATTAATTGGTAGCGTTCTATGCTAATAGTTGATGTAGTACGATATGTATGGAAGTGTATCCCCCTTTACAAGATAGGAATTTTTTTCTTTAGCCATGATGCACCGTTTTCATCTTAGAATGGAAGGAGGTTCAGGTTTCACTGGTCAACTGTATTCAACTGTACCGTACAAGTATTTTCCTACCTTAGTTTCGAAATTATTGGCGTTACCACCACATCCTCCGTACTGAAATTCCTCACACTGTGCGGTGATAGGGTTGTACCACCACTTCATGAAGGCTCCCATGCATAGACCTCGTTCCTTCGGCAATTCGCATAAAGACTTGAATTTCTTGCATTGTTGCTCGCATCCTTCCGCACTCTCAAAGTTATTATCGTTGCCGTTACACTGATAATCAAAGCGTTCGCACTTCTGAGATGTTTGGTTGAATGTGAAGCGGATTCGTCGCCTGATTCCGGAATTGACGTGGCATGGCGCCGTCTTGAATGCTTCCTGGTCGCATATGGCAGTACAATCCACTTTGTCACCAGCGGCATCAACAAAATAAGGTACGCACTTGTTGCACGGATCAGCCACGCACATTGCGTCGGGGTGAGCGAAACAGGTGGCCAAACTACACTCGTCGCGGCAGACCTTGGGGGCCTGGCCTTCAGGACAAATGTCACCAGAGGATACCCGCTTCGTAATTGTACCGTTGACATTACAGGAGACATGGCCTTTGGTAAGGGTCGAGTCAATGGGCACACCGAAGCGGTTGACGCACCAGGCAAGTTGGCCTTGAGACTGGCTAACAGCGTATCCTCCGTCGGATGAGCACACAGGCGGGGCGACGACCATTGTAGGCGGCATTGAAGCCTCAAGTTCAGGTGACTCATCATTCGGCATCTGGCACATGGCTCCGCAGGGTCCGCTGCAGCATTTCTGTTCGGCAGGGCAGTGACTGTCCTCCGTACACTGCACTTTGGGGAACAGACAAGCAGGAGTAATCGGTAGAACAGGGCAGCTTCCAGGCTTTACTTTGTTTTCACTTTCAGCCACCTTGGTAACCACAGGGGCAACGCAAGCCGTTGAACATCCGTAGCGGCAGCAACGCTCCAAGGCCGAGCAGTCGCTATCATCGTTACATTCCGTGCGACACCCAGATACCATTGAATGAAGAATGGTCTCAGCGAAACCTCCTCGGGGGCATTCACCTTTTTTCATGGTCTGTGGCGTCACTTGCGGCGTTGCCTCACGCTCTTGCTGAGCATTGGTATTCATATGGTTGTGTCCAAAAAGATAGTTGAGCAAGGTATCAATGGATCCTTGTTCGATATGACGCATTGCAACGGCAGGGACCGGTGTTTCCGACTTCATTGTCATCTTCACTTCGGCGAAGTTTGGACCAACAATGATTCCTCCACTTGGTTGGGCCTGTGGTATAATAGGAGCAGCAGGAGCAGAGCCCTCACCCCCAATGAAGCGCTCCATAATCGAGGTAATGTGGCTCATGAACATAGCAGGGTCGATACCGCCTGGAAGACTAACTGATCGGTCCATTGTCGTAACCTCTTCGCGGGACTCTTGCATGCGTTTCTGCGGAAGAGGCTCACTAGAAAAGACCGTGTGCTGCGTTGGAGGGTCAGCAGGAAGCCGAACAAGAATACGCATACGGGGAACCGTCGACGACAACGCTTGCATGATGTCTAATGGAGAAGGCATTACTGGAGGACGCGGAACAATACGTCGGTGAACGACCATGATAATAGGAGCCCGCAATGGCACCACCACCTTTGGTGGAGCAGAATAGTCAGCGACTGGCTCTTGAATAGGAGCACGCCTCCGGTTTTGATGATAAGCGCCCATGGCTCTTGCAGCTGGGTCATCATAATCGCTAATTTCATCAGAAAGTGTTTCTCTCTTCGCGCGTCTATGATTAGCTGTGGCTTCATCGAAAACGACTTTTGGTGAACGACGAACCCTATGAAGGAGTTCGTGCGGCATTGGTATAATACTACTGGCCTGTCTGGCTATCATTTCAATGGGGTTGGCGAAGATACGCGACGATTGCGCCAGCTCATCCTGGAGCATTCCTTCAGAGAGCTCGCGAAGTGCACTCACCAAGTTACTGATTGTGTTGAGCCCTTGGTTGGTCCATGCGCGCGAGTTAACCACCTGCTGGGCTTCTTCCTGACAAGCAGTCAGGCCCTTGCTGCAGTCAACAATATTGTTAAATTCATCGAAGAAGACAGCTTTACAGCTTCCACAAGGATCGACGCGGCATGTGGCATTGGTGCGAGCCGCACAGATCTTCTCTCCGCAAACCTCTTCGGCATCACAGATATGCACCGGTTCTCCACCTGGACAGATGGCCGCGGGTGTAATGTTGCGCCCGCTACGAGTAGTCGTAGGATCGTTACAGTTGGGCGTACCACGAACCATGCTTCCGGCAATCTGGTTGCCTTTCTGATCAACACACCAGCACAGGCCAAGATCATGCATACACTGCAGTGGTTCCCAAGTGCCCAGGCGAGAATTACACTTAGGTATGTACACTGGAGCCGTTATTGTTGCGCTGTTCTTAACCCGCGTACGAGTCTTTTCACGCATCAACTCGCATTCTGTATATATCGGGCAGACACTCTCACATTCCTCCAGGCTCGAGAAGTAGTTGAGCCCGTGTTGGCAGTAGTCGGCGTTATATCTGAATGGCTGACATTGCTGCTCCATCGGGTTGTAGAACCAACGCTCATGGACATCTGTGGGCACATCCTGTGTCTGCACGCACATGGGCGGAGCACTAAAGCATATCTCTCTCGGCTTTGGACAGCACTGGGCGAACTTGCCAAAGATATCTAGCTGACACTTGTGGCTAGTAGGACATGCAACCCCACCAGGGCCACAGGTTAACAAACTATCGTTAACGAATAGTGAACTTCCTACCGAACAGACATTTTCGACCCTGGGTCGACAAAGGGCCTGACGAGAACATGGTTGTTTCGACTGCGAGACACAAGCGAGTTCGATGAGGTGACACTCCTCGTTCATGCCACATGACAGTTGCTCGCAGGGATCAATGCATTCGCATGATGACGGGCAACCCCTGCTGTCCAGCTTCTGGCCGAATTCGCATTCAACGTTGCATTCGACGTTGCACGACGTAGAATTGAGGTTGCTACCGGTTTCACGTATAGCAGTGCAGTTAACCTGTGGTGGTCCGCTGGTTCGCGTTCCCGGAATCTCAATCCCAGCAGTATCGACACACCAGCAGAATTCACCATGGCATTGTACATCTTCAAAGGCTCGAGAGAGCGGATTGCACGATGGGACTGGCATGCCTTCAGACGGATTCATCTGTCCAGCGTGAAACTGGTGCTCGCGGATTGTTCGAGTGTGTTCGCAGCCGCTCATCTGTACGGGGACCATACACTGTGTGCCACAACCGTTTGAGCAGCATTTTAGCTCATGGGGACATTGTTGATCAGCGCTACATTGAACCTGCAATGGTAACATCATTTTAAACGAATGTTGGTTTAGCAAATAAAAAAGTACTTATCAAATGGCTTATCTATTAGCTACATGCATACATAATAGTGACTTAGGTAGGAGAAGCTCTACGTAGTTTGTTACTGTTCACCTCGCAGGACATCGCGGCAACAGGCGTATCCAGCGGAATCAGATATGGGCATTGGCCTTGCTTGATACGGCCTTCATGACGGCCTACAGGACCATCGTTTGGTGGGACACTCTGGTCTACGGTGCTTAACGAAGCCGGAATTGAATTAGGGCAGCAGAAACCATGTTCAGCGTCATCACTAGTAGGAACACAGTGATGTCCCGCGGGACAAGTGTCTTCTCGGCTACTGTCAGCGTAGCACTGAACGACCTCACGGCTTTCAGCATCGATCAGGGGTGCAAGCGAGCCACCGTTGAAAGGACAAATTAGCTCGAGGTTTCTCTGGGCGGCGTCTTTGCTCACACCTAAATTTTACCAATGCACACAAGGTACAGACTTCTATAAAGTCATATTAACAGACGCTATGGTAAAAGTATAAGTATATAGTTTTTGCTACTACGAGACGGTAAAAGTACACTAATTCATATATGCGTGTTTCATAAGATAAACATAGCGGGTGAAAAATGGCTTTGCAGTTATACAAAATATCCCATCACGACAGTGGATAAAATAACAAAATATTAAAAACGTACATTTTGGTACAGGAGGACACCAACGGTGATTACATGGAGCATCTGGTTCTGCGAGTTGGCAGATATGGTCGGGTGTGCATCGAGCATTCTTACACGGGTTTCTGCAGGCGCACAGTGGACAGCCCTCAGCATCGTATTCGAAACCATAGTCACAGCCAAGACGGCAAAGAACGTTGTAGCACGGCTTGGCAGATCTTATTTGACGGCACTCAGCTTCACTTCCAGCACCGCCCGTGGTGCTGTTACCGTTCGAATTGTTTCCGCTGCTGGCGGAAATTCGCGAATTGCGGATCTCGACACCAAAGTCATCAACGCAGAAGCATCCCTCTGTATCGCACTGACGGGCTGAATAGCGTCCTTCTTCATTGCAGACTGGCGTTGGCACAGCGAGATTCTCACCGCGCAATCCCAGTTCCCGTAAATACTCACATATGGTTGACACAACTGCGGGGACGGAAGCAGATTCCGCAGGGCCAGCCGATTGCGTTGAAGCAGCTTTTGTGTCAGTCTCTTCTTCTTCTTCTTCGCTGTTACTCTCCTGCTCGCGTCGGTTGTTGACAACGACAACCATCGCGTCACTGACGACGCGACGCTCTGCAGGTCCTGTTGGCTCAACTGGAAACAGCAGGTCAAGCGTCGTGGTAAGATTAGTGAATTTAACATGGGTAGTATTTGTAATATTTGAGGTTCTACAACCGAAACACATTTTGCACTATTTGATTCACTTTCGTTGAATAATAATTATTATAGGCACTCTAGCCTCGAGATGGTGGACAGGTAGACTCGCTGCCAGATAGGCAGCGCGAATTCGCGAAAACCTAAATCTATTTGAAGGTATACTGCTTACAGTTCAGACAATTGAGTCATCGAAATTCAAGCGTCGATTACAAGTTTATCCATTGTAGAGCCGTAATGAAAAAAGATAAGTTGAAAAAAGGTATCGGACACTAAATACCCTCACGTAGATTCAGTAAATCATAACCTAGCGCATTAAAATTTTTTCTAGTTCTATATTTACAGTAGTCATACCGATGCTTTCCTGTGCTCTTTGGCAGCAAATTCCGCTGGATTGTCCTGAGGGAATCTCACAGTCGAATCCATCGGCACAGCGTTCAGCGTCGGCGCACTTCACGACGTCGACGACAATTGTAGGACTCGAGTTGCCGCTCGAATTATCGCTAGGCTGCTGGACTTGTTGCAGCTGTGGGCGGCCGGACGAACAAAACCAATGGCCTTCTGTACCGGTGCCACCAAAAGCCTCCGGTGGTGTTACCTTCTTGGAACAAGTCGCAGTCATTTGACATGATTCAGCCTTGCAAGGCTCCTCCTGCGAAAGAAACAACAAAAAAGCATCGCTATTGAAACAGCTATGTAATATTTCACTTACTTTATATATCGTAATGGCCTTTTCATTAATCGAAGAGAAGGTAAAGTTAGTATAAAAGAACAACGGCTGGAGGATAGATGCCCTCCACAATGTCGGTTAATACTTAGTTAACCCGTAATTAAAATTTACCTTAACAAATACGCATTCTTCGTCGGCTGCACAATTGTTATTCTCGCACGGGTCGACACATTCGCATAGGCTGCACCCATGCTCATCGGTACGGTAACCATATTCACATAAAACATCGCATGTCAGTAGAGAGCAGGCGTGATGAGACATGCGTTCATTCTTCGCTCGATCTTCAACTGCGACAGCTTCGTTGTCTGTCTTGGGCTGGTCTTCGTTATCGTCATTTATGCGATGGGAACGGGCAAACGCAGCACGCCCCTGACTCAGCCCCGCGCCGGACTGCTTTTCGATGACGGTGTCACAATTGACTTCTTCTGCAGGGCCTATCGATCCTGTCATTTGCTGCCCAGCGTCATTAACGCACCAACAGATTTTGCCGTTTGAAGAACACTGGCGTGGCATGAATTCACCCTGTGATTTGAAGGAGAAAAAGAAACAGGACATGTGCAACAGTCATATAATATGATATATAGCAGTCATATAAGACACCAAACTACATATATACAAAAAATTGCATTCCGTCAATTTACCTTAGAATCGCATTGGGGGATGTACCCCGGTTCCTCGACAGTTTCGGAGAAAAGCGCCGCCAGGCGTCGTTGCTGTTCACAGGTGGTTGAGTTCCGCGATTCAAGACATCTTGGAGTACCGCACGATGTCGCACAACACCTTTGGAAAGTCTGGCAATCTGAGTCGATGGCACAGGTAAGGCTCTCTTCGCAGCGGAAATCTGCAGCTACGCTCTGTGGGCACTCGCCTTCATGGACCTGATCGTTCCTCTCCCTTTGGGTTAGTGGTTCTTGATCTCTCGACGAACTTTCCATTGGGCAACACAATCCATATTCAGCATCAGACGGAACCGAGCACTCGTAGCCTACACGGCAAGATTAAAAAAAAACATAAATTTTTTAACACATTTGAAATAGTTAGCAGAGAAAGCGCTTCATTGCTTTAAACCGTGACGTATAAACTAGAGTTTAACCGTCGCGTTAACTCGCATTTAAATCTACGAGGACACCTCTTAACCTAAAGAAAATATAACACTAACGTCAATTTAGTGGAAGGCGAAGTCTGTTGTGTAAACTGTGCAAGTAAGGCAAACTTTAGAAATTAATCCGTTATGCATTTTAGTGAACTTGAGTTTCTGGCTATGAACAACTCAATCGAAAATTCTGGACAAAAAAGGGGCACGTTCACTTACCGGAGGGACATTTCGGTTGACCTTTAGCGACGCCACAGAGCAGAGGTCGCAAAGCTGTCTGGCCGTTTGTCGTCGGGGCCGATAGTGGCACACCGAATGCGCATTGACGAAGAGTTTTAGCACGTCGACAGCTTGTGCTTGGCACGCAAGGCTCGCCAGGCCGACAGTTAGAATCATCAAGATGACACTCGTGACCACCAGGGCATTGGATACCGGCGCAAGGTTGACGACACTCACATTGAGGACAGCCGCGGTCATCTGTTAAGAAACCAAATGGGCAGAGCATGCGGCAGGTGTGGGGCGCGCATGTTGGTCCAACGCCTACATTAAAAAAAACAAATCGGGCATCGTTAGAAAACTGAGAGTAGAAATACACTGAGGAAATAAGTATCTAATTCCTCACCAAGGCGTCTAGGCTAACGTCTGTAGATATAGGTAGTCACATTCATGTTTCACTGAAGTGCACAAGGAAATGCAAATTCAGATAAATTACCTTAAAATAGGTAATATATTTGCATACCCTTATGAAATATCGGTAAGTATGATGACTAAGCGTGCGTGAAACAAAGAACCTCTTACCAAGAACTGTGTTGCCTATTACGACCGCCTGTTCATATTATGAAGTAATATTAATAGAATCACTGCATAAATATATAAATCACCGAAGAACATACGCGAATTCCCTTATGCTATTTTATTTTGGTTTATTTTGGTCTAAAGCAGTATCACGAAAAGATCTATATGCCGTTAGTTCGCGTCACAAATGTATGTTAGTTGTTCCACACTGACCGATATATTTTTCTACCATACAAATTTAATACCCATACGTTCATAAAATTTGCTAATATCATATTCTTTTCTTAGTGGTACTACTATTGCTGTGGCTCCTTAGAAATATTAGAATTTAGTGTGTCACACTTCAGTGCGTATTCATTTACGTGAGCATAACCACATCGGACACGGATCGATGTGCGGATCATGATCACCTATCTTTTCTGAAAAGGCTCGTGCTGTGTCAGGACTCCAGGTTATCAACCGCTAACCAAATTTACCATATATGCGGCGAACAAGATAGGATAGTATCAGCTGCTCTTACCCCTCTCTTTGACTGTGAAGTCACGTTAATTCTGAATTATCAAGGCTGTCCGGGTGATATTTAGATAACATACTCCTTGAGTCACTTTTGCGTCGTCCTGCGCATGTCTTTCATGTTGTTACAACGCTACGACCGACCGTCGCGCAGAGAATCGAATCATTTAACGTATGTTGATAAAAATAGTTCCAAAATCTGCAACCCGTGAAAGTATACTAGGAAGAAAGCTATATATAGTGAAAAGCGCGACACTGAAAAATATCGCCAAAAATTTCATCACTTTATGGAAGGTCATCCTCTATTTGTGATGCTAACATTTTGACCTGTACCTCAACATAGAATGCAACAATTAGAAGAAGAATATCAACACTGGCTGAAAAGTTGTATTCTATTTATCCTAACTATTACCGCAAAATGTCCATGTTGGCGTCAATAAGGACAGCAGTGGCATCAATTTCGATAGTAGGCATAAAATTTTGGAATACGTTTTCATTTCGTTGCTCTGATTGGAGCGTTTTATTGAGTTTTTAGATTTCAAAGATTTTAGCCTATATGGACGAAACTTGATCAAAGTTAAATGCAAGCAGAAAAGATTAATTAGTCTTCGAATATGACTTTTGATTACTATCATATATACATCTCTTACAGATATGATATTTTGCCGCTGTTCTGGCCGGATTTGCGTGGGCAATTGCTTTTAAAATTTGTAACTAAAAATCTCCTTACTGGATGTTGTAGTTGTTACATCGTCCGGGGTGGCTGTCGTCGTTGTTGGCGCCTCCATGGAACTCAGCTCTTTTGCGGCTGGTTGAGTCTGACTGACAACCTTAATTTCATCCTGCTGTTGCGGTTGGACAACAATGTCCTGCTCTTGTGGCTCAGCGATAATGGGATTCTCGTTTTCGGCCTTTTTGGCGTCGGTGGCGGGCACCTGTACGGCTTCCTCGATCGCTGGCTCGGCTGGCGTGCTCGTGACCGTCCGAATGGTCAGTTCGCTGACAGCGGCACCGTTCACTGGCGTCGGCTCTTCCTGGGTGGCGGCGACGGCGACGGCGACGGCGAACACCCAAATAAGAATACACCTCGTTTGCATCGTCACGCAATCCCCCTCAACAACCGGCCGGAGTCCGGTTGTTCTGGTCTGTCAGTAGAATCGCCACAAAGGCGCACCCTAAGCAACAGCGCCTTCAACTGTAAAATAGAATAAATAACAATAAAAATAAATTAAATGAAACACTGTCAATTAGCCGCGATGATCACCACGATTAACATTAACAACAGGCCATCATTCAGTAGTGGATTCACACTGTTGGGGTATTTTAGTTCACTAGTATATTATTAGCCTCATTGCTGAAAAAAAGTAATTCTTCCATGTTTTTTTTTATTCCAGTTACACTTTATTAGTCACAACTACACCAGTATACTAAAAAAATGTTAGTTTGTTCAAATTTCACTTTGATGCCTTCGCACTTTATCTCTCTTTATATATATATATATATATAATTGACAATATTTATATGTGAGAGCAATAACATTTCTATCTGTCACACGCTAAACATCCTTGCTTGGCTAAACATGTAATCATAGCGTGAGCGGCTGTCAGTTAACTAGCCGAAATGTTTTGCTGTTAATTTCATAAATGAGGTAAGGTTTAAAGCCACCGATGTTACGAATAAACGCCACTCAGGTTGTCCCTAAGTTGTATAATGGCTAAGTTCCTTATGATTGTCCGTTCCTATCCTGCCATTTTGCATAAATAGATAAAATAGGGAAGTTGGTTCACAGATTGTCATATTATATATTTATAGGAAGTGAATAGCTGCTTAGCTAATGTACAATATGTTATAGGATAGATTGATCCAATTAAATATCCAATAGGATAAGTTGAGTGAGAAACAATAACCATGAATTTAACTCGAACAAAGATAGCAATAATACGTTGTTTGCAATAAAATGTATTAGGGATAGGAAAAGCAATACTGCACTGAGCACTGAGTAAAGTATATGAACGAGAGAAAGCTTTAAAGTTGTTATATCTTCCTGACGTTTCGAGACTATTATTATTATTTTCATCAAGCTTTTGGTGAAATTAACATCAAAGTTGAAATAGAACGATATAAAACCAAAAAATAGCTCTAAATTAACTTAATTAAATTAATAAAGTAACTATTTTCTGTTATTTTATCTGTTTAGTAGCAAATTGGCATAATAATAGTATCACTTTTTTTTTAACTAAGGTCGTTACCTGTAACAGATACGTCTGAGTGTATTGGTAATCAGCTGTACGCTTTTGGGTTCACTTGACAAGGACTACGAGATTCTTCAGATAACACTTAATCATCTATTTAATCATAATGACCAATTGATATTGAATATAAATTCTCACTGGCAAATCTGATAAGCGACTATATCACGGCAACTCCGTACAATGTGCTAATGAATATCCAGCGTCACGATATCCAATCAGCGTGGTACGAATGCAAAGAAATTTAGCTATAATTATATTGTCCAATAGGTTATGAAGTAAAGACAAATGTTTCTATCTATGGCTGTCGACCTTTTCGCCGTCGTAGCTATACGTAGACGTCAAGCCTGTTCTATTGTTTAATTTGGTTTCTGTTTTTGAGGACATAAAATGGAAAGTGTTTGCTAGGAAATAGAAAGGTAAATCGTTTTTGTCATGTCGTGCCCGCCGGTCAAGTATGCCTAGCTTCTGCAAGCCGTTGGCTTTATTCGGTTCTCCATATGCAACACAAGACGGTCAGCCTCAGCTAATAGTCAGGCGTGGCTGATTTGAAAACGGATTCGCTGCTGCTACGAGAACTTCGTGTTGCATTCGTTCATTTCCCAAACTAGCTCCTATTTAATTATTCGGCGTCAGTGAAATCTCGCCACATCCTTCATTTTTGCTTAGCCATTTCGACTCTGTAAACTCAAGGTCGTTGTAGTGTAGTAATCAGCACCGATAGTAAAGGAGCTGTGCCGCCATCGGAATCACATTAAATTTTAGTAACTGATTAGTACGCGCAGGGACTCGGCAGTAAGCGAGGCTTTCTTTCGGTCATTTACTAGACAGCTCAAGAACGCATGGCGCGATTGTAAATTTGTTGCGAATCGTCGAGCATGAATCGATAATAACTACACACAGGAACCTTTGTTTGTTTTTGTTTGGCCTCTCATCACCCCACAGAGTCTAACCGTTTTTAGATGATATGCTTCATAGCCACAACACGTAACATTATGTGGTGAATAAGCATGGAATTTTCCAGTTATAGCTTTTTATAAAGCCTGACTATTAGCCGAGCAGGAATTTTCGCTAACCGTTTTCACATATAGAATTCAATGCTTTTACTGAACTAGACTAGTGTGAGAACGTATTGTAAAACATCACGTTTCATGTGTTAGACCTTTTATCACATTCAAGGGGCAAGAAGAGATTGGCTGCTTTGATCACTATCCAAGAAAATACCTTGTACAAAACAGAGGAATGAATATCAAAGCGTACCAAGTAAAGCATCGTTTTCTCCATTTTAGGCCGGGGTAGTTCGGGACTAATGGCACGCAACTTTGGTCTTAATCTATGAGTGATAGAAGGCTCCGTGCTAATGTGACACCTGTCTACCTATAAATATCGTATCGATATTTTACTCGGCGGCAGTGCCGAATAGACTTTGGTGCAAGCTGATACCAATATGGTATAATATCCTTTATTTTCGACCGTCACCTGTTTGACTGAATTCGAACTGCGGAAACCTATGCCATTTTATCGGTCAGCACCTGAAGTTGATCCGATTCATCTCTCTTTCCACGGACAGAAGATTCTATTTAGGGTTGCCAAATCTGCTTAGACAGAGAGTCTCTGATCATATCTGTGTAGATTCCTTGTCCGTTCTGCTTCGTAAGCCTAATAGATAAACCGCTATTTAATAAAGTCACCGTTAAAATTTACTGGTAGTAAAAGTCCATCTCGCTAACGGATCGAGTTGATGCAGAACACTTATCACGATCAGCCGATTCGAAGTGAACCTTACATTATTGGCCACAACAACTTTGACCTTCACTAGACCCAATATGAAGAGTGCTTTTCTAAATCAGGCTTTACGTACCGTCGGATATGAAGGGCAACCGACCAGCTCCAAACGGGTACATCTCTTAATGCGATAGAATAGGTTCAACCAGCTAAAAAATAGATTTACATGTTTAGTTAAGTGAACTCCCTGGTTAAACCTTTTTCTTTCACTGATTTTATCAAACACTGTTTATAGTATTCCCGGTACACCTTCTCTAAACGTTCTCTGTGGTAGATCCTAAATGAATATATCTTTAGCTCCACATCGCTTTCTCTCCACTTTTATACCAAAAAGGCCGGTCTACCGTATAATGGGTCCATGTAGTTGACTACGATGATGTTCGGCGCTGGGTCATTTAAAAATGATATTCTACTAAATAACTAATGTGGCGATAAGGGAACGTGTTTCGCAGATGCCATTCACTGAATTATATCATAATATATTTGCTGTGACGCGGCTACCCCACCTTCAGAAAGGACTAGCCAATCACGTGAACACTGATGTTAGTATGATAAAAAAAAAAAAAGAAAGAGCCATGCTTAAGTTACCTTAACTAGTACACAAATAATAAGACAACAATTAAAACGTAATTAAACTACTTTGTCGACTACCACGGCGACTATTCATGGATGGTGGCCAAGAACGCGCAACAATGACTTCATTAAACAAACGTTATTTTTTCATATGAGCTTCGATGTATGGACACAGAATGAATTTTGCATTGCATTATGAAGAAGGAACGCTTGCGTCTCTAGTACATGCAGGTCGTATCTATTTGCTAGAACTTGTATATAGCACTATGAGAAAGTGGTGTTAGAAACAACCTACTAAATCAAATTTGGCAAGCGAGTCTTTTTGTTTTTCCGTAATTCTAAAAAATAACACGAAAAATATGTAGACATTTCCTTTATAAAATGATAAGGAACAGCTACGCTCTTCCTGTTCTGGTACCTAAGTAATAATAATTTCGCCGTTTCCAGTTAAAATAAATGGTCTGGTGAAAATATAGGATTCCTTTACTGTGTTACGTTGAAAAAATTATGAGGCACGTCAAAGCGTTTTATTCGTACATTTTGAATAAACTGCTATTTTCTTAGGAAGTATAAGAAATTCGTTTATAAACCGTCTGGCGGAACGTCTGACCATCCCGGACACATTTCCCTTAATGTCTATCGTGGGGTCCAGCTATCGGACTACCATTACGCTAAAAAGACACTTACCCCTCGGCGCCATTGAAGGTCCAATAGGGCAAAAGAGCAAATATCGACTCACCGTGATCCTCGGGGGGAACCTTTTTAAAATTCTGAGAACTCGTTGTAATTCTTCGATTGCGATACCTACCATGATTATCTGTGCCCCAGTACAAAACCGTACTTATTTTTGTTACATTCGTTACACTCGACCAAGTGGACCTTCCCAACTTTTATTATACGTAAAGAAGTATATATTTGTGCTATTACATGGCTTCTTCTTATTGTCTACGCAACTAAGTTTGTCTCGTTCATAATTTTCGCCGGCACCACTACATTACGAACGCCGCTTAGAGCGAATTTTAATACGAAAACGCGTTAATTGAAGTCGATGGAAGCAGTGTCGTATGAACTGCTAAATGGTTAGCAGCTAAAAGGGTGTACACGCCGAAGCTAAACGATAATACGATGACATTGCATGATATCATAGTCAAACACAGTTAGAATCTGCAGGAACTAAAATGTCGCGCAGCAATGGTGTTTCGCTTATGCGTACTTTTGTCCTAGACGTTGGCCACCATAACTAGTCAACAAATTAGGTTCTTGCCTTATGTGTATACTTCGGCCTAATATGCATACCCAACCTCACGGTAGTTTCGTTTGTGGATCGCTTTAACTATTGCAGTAGATCTAGTCCTTTGACATCTACTAAATATTCACATATGCATAGGGTTGTTTCTGTCGACTTTAAAGTTAAATAACTTTTGAATTAGTTGGGCTAGAACGATGATTTTACATACGTACTAGAAGTGCTTTCTCTTACCTTGACATACTTGTACCAGTGCTCTGACACCTTCTAGAGAGCTATATATATATATATATATATATATATATATATATATATATATATATATATATATATATACCTACT